GAGCTGTGAAGAAGTGGATGGTGAATTCTTTGTTATCCTAAAGATTAATTTTGCAGTTGCCGATGGCAACCAAACTGGGTGGGTCTTGGCGCCCTCTGGTGGCGGCATGCAGAGCCACTCTGTGTGCTTCTTCAAAATTCTTTGGGTTGATGTTACCTGTTGAGAGTCTGGTTCCCTCCTATGTAGAGTTCACAGCTGAGTCCTTTTCACTGGGAGTAGCACTCTCCTATGTGCCCACACCCTTCCTTCTCCTATGGGACTATCTGGACCAAGGCAAAGGATAACTTTTCTGAAAAGAAATAGCTCCAAAGGGTAAATGCAGAGATTCTCTAAACCTTCGAAACCTTGTGAATGCCTGGCCTCTTACATCCCTTTCCATGCACTAGCTTCTTTTCCTAAACTGCAGAATAAGTATCATTTTGCTACGGATATTTTCTCTCATCTCAATAATAACATTGCTGTAACATCAGTTTCCAGGTTTAATTGCATGAGATTTAAGAGCTATCTGCGAATTAGCTCACAACTGTGTCCTAAATGTGTGTCTGACTGTCCGTGTCCCCCTGAAGTGCACATGCTAAAATCCTCCACCTAGAGGAGCAGCATTTCGAGTGAGAGGTGAGTAGGTCAGGGGGCCAGAGCCCTTGGGAACAGTGATCAGTGGCCTCATGAAAAAGGCCCAGACAGCTGCTTCTGTCCCCACCACCATGTGAGGATGCTGTGAGAAGCTGCTGTCTGTGAAGAGGAATTGGACTCATCAGACCCGGAATCCGTCGACACCTTGCTCTTGGGCTTGCAACCTTCAAGAACTGTGAGGAACAAATGCCCGTTGTTTAAGCTGCTCAGTCAGTGGCTCTGCAGTACACCAGCCCACACCTGCTGAGAGGGACTACAGCCACACCGAAAATCAACTTATGGGAACGTGTTTCATAGGTTGCCTCAAAACCCTCTCAGCACTGATGGCTGTGTGCTCTTCCAAGCTCAGGAGCATTTCCTTCTGGCAGAGGCTCACCTGTGCTATCTACTGTCAGCAGAGTGGCCCGTCAGCAGTAATCCCCTGTCAGACTGGCCATCAAATGCATCAGGAAACGGCAGGGTCTGCACCACACCCTGAGAAGCAGCTGTCTGTCTGGCCTGTTTCTGACCTGCAAAGCCCAGAGTCCCCAGGGGAACTGGGCTCAGCAAGCTGTGTCATGGGGAGCCTTCCGGGACATCTTCTGCCAGCTCATTTTTCAGGTAGGTTGTTCCTTAGCTTCTGTGACCCCATCTGTTTCTCTGTCAAATGAGGAATCTGGACTCCACTGATGCCCCTCTCTTACTGCCACAATGGGTAAAATCTCAAATACGAAGAATGTTTAGAAGTTAAAAAAAAAGAGAGAGAGAAACCAGATCAATTTTAATAATGGTTTGTAGCAGAGAGTGTGATGAGGAACATCTGGATGGTTGTCTTCTTGCTTTGTCCTCACATGGGGGGAGGAGTGGGAGGGAGCTGTAAAGCTGTCTGGTGTCTCCTTTCCTAAAGGGCACTAATCTCATCATGAAGGCCCCACCCCAGGAGGTCATCTACTTTTAGTTGCCTCCAGAGCCCTAACTCCAAATACTGTCACTGAAAGGGCTAGGACTTCATAGGAATTTGGGGGTGGGGGTGTGGGGATGATATATTGGCACCTCTCTGATGCTTTGTGTTATACTGACACATTTTTGATAGCAATGGCCACTGCTTCCCTTACACACTATTAATCTTATACATTCCTCTTCTGGCCAAACTTAACACAGAAAGATTCCAGGAAGTGTAGCTGTAGGTCTAATCAGGGTGACATTCAGTAAGTCAGCTTATTAGAGTTAGTTTTATTTTTTCATTTCAGCATTACAGATTTACAGTATATCTCATTGGCTCTAGCTTATGCTATTCCAATGGCTGTGCTTATGGGCCATTCATGTATCTTATTTTGTCTAAGTTTTCTACAAATTTTCAATAGGTTGTTGTCTTTTTGTTATTGAATAGAAACTCATTATATATATACTATACTTAAAAAACTTTTATTGTATAAGCATATTGCAATAATTTTATCTAACTGAAGCCTGTTTTGTCTTTTTTTTTTTTTTGTACTGGGGATTGAACTCAGGTCCTTGCACTTGCACAGCAGGCAGCGAAGCCATGGAGCTAAATCCCTGGCTCTGTCATTTTTTAATAATGGCTATTTTTGAAAAGTTTTTAATTTTAGTGAAGTTCAATTTTTGTATTCTAAGAAACCTTTGAGTACCTCAAAATTATGAAGACATGCTTCTATTATTTTCTTCTAAGGGCTTTTTTTTTCCTTTTTAGCACATGGTTGCAGTACATGCTGTTTACAGTCATCTTGGGAAGTGGGAACATGTACATAATCTAATATTTCTTTTTTTAAATCTTTTTCCCCTTCCTTCCTCTTCCCTCTCTTCTCCTCTAATTCCCCTTACCCCATTTTTCATTCTTGTTGATATTATTAATCTTAGGTCCTGTTTATGGTATATAATGTTTATATTCCTTGAGATTATTAGGTTCCTGTACATGGCATATATTTATTCTACTTATTTCTTTTTTCCCTCCCCCTCCCCCCTCAACTTTGATCTCTTGGAGCCCCTCCCATTTGCAAGAGATCCATCCCCTTGTCTCCTTATATCTATCCTTTACTATTGTCTTTCTTTGTACTTTGCCTTACTCAAGTGAGAGATACCATGTGGTATTTAAGCTTGTGTGACTGGTTTATTTCACTCAACATTATATTTTTCAGGTGCATCCATCTTCCTACAAATGTTTCAAAGTTATTCTTCTTCATAGCCTAGTAATATTCCATCATGTATAGATACCACCTTTTTAAAAAATCTAATCATCTGTTGTTGGGTATACAGGCTGCTTCTAGTATTTTGCTATCATGAATTGTGGTGCTAAACATTGGTATGGATATATCAATGTAATATAATGCACTAAGCTCTTTGGGAAAGAGGCCTAGAAGGGGGATAGTTGGGTCATATGGAATTTCTAATTTTAGTTCTTTGAGAAATCTCTATACTTATTTCTATAATGATTGTACTAGTTTACATTCCCACCAACAATGTAGGAGAATTGTAAGGGCTTTTTAAGATTGGACTTTTACATCTATAATCCATTTTGAGTTAACTTAGCATCTGAAGTGAAATGTTGGTTGTTACTGTTTTTTCATAGATACCCAGTTCTTTTGATATAATATACTGAACATCACATATAACCTGTACAAACTGTGAACTAAATAAACCTTTCCACCTTTAACTTTGGGTGTCGCATATTTTGTCTCACAACGAGAAAAGTAACTAAGTACTGATGAACTCACATTTCAGTGCATCCTGGATGTCCCAGAATGTTTGCTGACCTGTCATCCAACCTAGTTTTCAATTCCTTTTATTCTAAAAAGTGTTTCAATTTCTATAATGGCTTAGCATCCTGCTTTTACTCTGATTCATTTTGCTTCATGAAAATTATTATCTGTTCATTGTATGTTTGCCTGTTTTTGTTTGTTTTCTAGTTCCCCCAAAATGATTGTGAATTCCATGTGATGGTCTTCATTGTTGACTGCTTTGTCTCTAATCTTCAGAACATTACCCAGCACATAGTACTCAGTAAATATTTATTTTATGAAACAAGTAATTGATAAATATCTTAGTTGTGTGACTTTGAGCAAGTCACTCCACCTTTGAATTTCAGGGTGCTTGGACCTTCCCTACCCCACCTAACTTTGTAATGCAGTTCTAGCTTAAATGAGATGGTGAATCTAAACCCAAGGATCGCTAGTGTGATCTCCCTCATTTGTAGCAGTTTCATTGATGTCAACAATTGCTCTATGCAGAGGGAGGACACTGGAACAATGTTTTCAATAAGTTACAGTAATCATGTAAAGCAAAAAAAGACAATGTTCTAAAGTGAGAATTCCCTCTAAGTAGCACGGATTCATTTTTAAAACAAAAAGTGTGACTTGTATGAGGAAGATAAGCATAAATACTCAATAATTTTCTGTTTTCAGTTGCTTCCCATGTTTTTGTAATGTTAAAAATATTTTTATGGGGTGAGAGTGATTTTTTTAGGGAGTTTACTGTATGATGCTAGTGTCCACATTTCTATCTTTAACCCAGAGTTATTGCTTGAACTCTAGACTCAAATGTCCAGCTTGATGCTCCTCCACGAGAGGGAGGTAGAAACTCAATTCTTAGTTTTCTAGTAGGTTTCTTATCTCAAACTGGCACATTTAAACCTAAATTTTCAGCCAAATCCTTATTTCTCAAACTGGCACATTCAAATCCTCATTTTCAGCCAAAACCTTAGGCTTTCCTTCTTTCTCATGTCAGCAAATAGTAATTCTGTTTTGTGAGATTCTCAGGACCAAATCCTTGTGCTCACTTGAATTTCTTGGATCAATTGGGTTCATAATTTTTATAAAATTTGGTAAGCTTTCCAGATAATTTTTTCCATATTCATTGTTCTGCCCCCCGGCCCTGTCCGTCTGTTAGACAAGTTGACGTTGTTTCACTACACTGCTGCGTGATTCCTCTTTTCAAGGACTTTCCCCTCTGTGTTTCATTGTAGGTAGTTCCTGCAACAGTGTCTTCAAATTGACTAATCTGTTTTTCTGCAGTGTCTGATACCCGTCAGTCCCTTTCAGTGTTTTTCAATACAAACCTTGTACTTTGCATTTCCAGATGTAACTAAAATGAGCTTAGCATATTCATTCTTTCTTCTAACCTTCTCAAACATATGCAGTTTGGTTTTAATAACTTTTAATGTTCTGTCTGCTAATTCCATCATTCATATTCTTCCAGATATTTTAAATTTTTTCTTCCTCTTCTTTCTCCTTCTTCTTCTTTTAATGGAATGTGCTTCCCTGCTCGTTTTTATGCCTGGTAATATTTATTTGATAACCATCACTGTGAATTTTACCTGGTTGGGAGCTGGACATTTTTGCATTTCCAGGATCAAGCAGTTGAACGCCCATGAGAAAACAGCCTGTTGATGTCCCAGGTTCGGAAGACCAGGGCCAGACGGGCAGAGCCTCCTTTCCTCCGGGTTGCGCCCCCTAGTGGGCATCTGCACTCGCCGCGGCCCGGTCTCCTGGCAACAGCAGGCGCACTGCGCTGGTCGCCCAACCGCCCGGGCCTCGTGCTCAGCTCTGTCACGCTGGGGTCCGAGCCCCCATGACCTCCAAGCACTCGGAAAAGAAGCAGGTGCCGCGGAAGAACTCAGAGCACGGATATGACAGACCTGACGAGTAAGGCACCGTCGCCCTCGTTACCTCCAGGGTCCGCCCCAGCCTGGGGGGCCCGCTCCAGCTTCCGGGCCCAAACCCAAAGGTTCTTGCCCTAGTTCTCCTCTTGCCTTTCCCAGAGGCCCGACACTCAGTGCTTGGCAGGTTCCTGGCCTTGTGGCTCCCACTGGGACATCCCACCCCTTCTTGCCCTTTTTTGCCACCCGTCGTGCAAAAGTGGGAGCCAGAAGAGGCGTCTGTCACAGCCTGTTCCGCAGAGTCAGGGACCTTCCGTCTGGGCGCCACTGGGGTGGAGGAGGGGATGAGGAAGGGAGGAGAGGGAGGAGGAGGGTTAAGGGGGAGGGGAGGAGGAGGGCCAAGGCGAGGGGAGCAGAAGAAGTAAGAGCCCGAAGGGACAAAAGAAGAGAGAGAAGAGAGGGAGATTAGGGAGGGAGAGAAAGGAGGAGGGTGGTGGAGGCGAGAGGAGAGCTTCCGGGATGGCTCGCTCAAGTCTGTATTATGAGGACTGTTCTTTCAACACAGGATTGCCTCGGGGGAAGGGATGGAAGGAGATGCAAACCTGAAAGGGATGAACTCATAATAAAACAGATATGCAAAAGATAGGCTGAAGTCACAACAAAGAAGAAAATCAAGCGTTGAAAATTTTCATAGAAAACCGATTTGAAATATAGCATGTGTGTGCTTTCATGACTAAAGATTTAGAAGAGGGGGTCCAGATCCTAAGACCAGAGTTACTACTTTTCCTATTAGTCAAGGCTAGGGAGCAATGCTAGCTGCAATACCAGACAGCCCCCAACCAACACAAGAAGCAGTATTAAACACGGACGCCAGAGACTGAGTGTACAGTGGTGGCCTTGCCTGTGCCAAGGCACCAGCTCCTTGCATGTGGTGTTATACAACCATTTTGCACAGTGTCCTCCTAGGGTTCCACCTTGCATCAAACAGGGAGGGAGGATTGTGTCAGAGAATGTCATGTAAGCCTGAAGGAGGAAAGCACAGATCTAGCCACATTCTGTCCTTCAAGCCACCACTGGACATCATCAGCCAACCCGGAAAGGAAATAGAAGATTGGAGATTATTTGGTCAGTCTCTACCCACACATTAAGGTTTACAGCAATTCTAGTTAAAAATAATTACAATAAAGACATTCTTTTATTTCATGTACATAGCAGATACATTTCCTACTTTGTCCAGGCACTCTTTCAGGGGCTGAATAGAGAGGGAATCATCAAAAAATTCATCATCCGGCCTAGTGGGACTTACAAATCCTACCCGTGGAGACACATTAAGTGCTTCCTGAGAGTTGTCAGGTGTTAACTAAAACAGCAACAGGAGAAGATGCACAGAAGTGAGCAGTGTACACACAGGTTCAGAAAAGCCCTTCCTCCACGCACACCCCCAGGAGGTGACCCCTCAGAGCCACTTCAATGTTCTGGCCTCTGAATTGTGTGTCAGTTGTTTTTATTTCATCTGCCTTGATCTATCAGCAGCATTTGGGTCTATTGCATAGTTTATCATTTTTGAAAATTAAAAAATGGCTTCCCTTTGTTTCCCAGGCATCACATTCTATGGCTTTACCTCCCTGACACTGTATTAGCTTCCTATTGCTAATAATAAAATACTACCAGTTTAGCATCTTAGTTCACACAGATTTATTGTTGCAGAGTTCTGAAGGTCAGAGGTCCAAAATGAATCTCTCTGAGCTAATACCAAGGTTTCAACAGGGCTGCATTCCTTTCTGGAGACTCCGGAAGATGATCTACTCCCCTGACTCTTCCAGTTTCTAGCACCTTCCCATAGTCCTTCATTTTTTTAGTTTCCTTTTTATTATCTATTTTTTTTCTTACTACATTTTTGTAGTAATTGTAATCACATTCCTCATTGGGGATCGGTACATCAACATAACATATCTTAATTCTTTTTTTTAAATGTCCTTTTTCTCCCCTTCCTGCCCTTTCCTGTGTCTCATAGTTCTTTTTTCTTTTGCAAAAGAACTATTTCACTATTTCCTATTCTCTTTTATTTTGCACTTCTTTTGTATTTTGTGTTTCTCTGTTAAGAGAAACCATGTGATACTTAAATTTGTGTGTCTGATTTATTTCACTTAATATTATGGTCTCAAGGTGCATCCATTTTCCTACAAATGAAATAAGTTTATCTTTCTTAATGGCAGAGTAGTACTCCATTGTGTATAAAAACCACATTTTAAAATCCATTCTTCTGTTCCCATATTCCTTCATTTGTGGCTCCTTTCTAAACAGTTTTCTACGTATCTTTTGGTCTTCTTTCAACACAGCAGCAAAAATAGTTATCATATTTTAGTCATGTTGTATCCCTGCTCAAGCCCTCCTTTGGCTTCCTGTCTCATTCATATGGAAGACCTGTGTCCTTCCCTTGGCTTGATCACATTTCCAGTCTTTATGTTTCCTCTTCTCGCTGAAATCGTCTCCCTTCACCTCTTCCATTTGCCCAGCTTCGGCCACGCTGACCTCCATGTTATCTTTTTTTCCCATTAAGTTTATTGGTACATTTTAGGTATAAAATACAGTTACATTGGGATCTTGTACCTTTACATGATGTATCTTGGTTCTTATTTTTTTCCCCTTCCCCTGCCCTTCCTTCACCCCCTCCACCCTTCCCTATTTGCAAAGACTTTGTTTCCATTTTTCCTTTTCTCATATTTTTTCTTTTCC